GCTTCTTTAAAAGCACTTTTCAAACCATCTTTAAGAAAGGGTTTTTTTTGTGCCTCACATGGAAAGAGCTGGACTTTAACCCAGGATGTTTCATCAAAAGGCAGGGACCTTCACAAAGCCCCAGCAATGCAATTTTTGAACCCTGTTTAAAGATTCAGTAAACTTCTCAGTTGTCATACAAGTTTAATTTAGGAATTTAGGAAACTACCAGATTCCTATTTTTCAATCTCAGCAGAAGGCCAAAAAAAAGTAGATGTCTCTGTTTTAAGAAACCAGGATGGTGACACTTGGTTGGCAACACAATTGCAGATCATACAGACAGATATAGAATATTTATGAGGGTACAAAACTCTGTGTTACAATAATCCCCGCTTTATTTTCCATTTGGGCTTTTCCAGCTGATGACCAACACATTTCCACATAATCAGATCAGTAAGTGACACTCTGTCCACGTCACACTCAGCTTCAGGAAATCTAACACCAGAGATTTCTCTATTAAGACGTGCACACCCCACCAACAATGGTTTACAGTTCATAGCTTTGGTTTATTTATTTCTTAATTTATGATTTTGTCGGTTTATTTGTTGTCCATGCTTTTTGTGATTATGATAAAGAGGTTTTAAATGACAAAGGTTATCTTCAATTTCTTTGCATTATAATTTACATTTACACTTCCTCAGAGGAGAGCAGGTGGGCTTTTAATAAAGTCTGAACATGCTCACTGTCTTGAGTCAGGAAACATAGATGTACTTAGACTATCATTATGTTTGAGTTAAAAAAAAAAGTGAATATCCTCACGTTTTTCACTGTAATTTCTCCACTGGTGTATGATTGTGAGTGTTGTGTGGTGGTGGTCGGAGAGGCCGTAGGCGCAGAATGGCAGCCACGTTTCCACCGCCACCAAAGTGTGACTGTGTGAGCGAATGAATGATGTATCCAATGTAAAGCGCTTTGAGGGTCTCTGATAAAGCGCTATATGAAATCTGATGCATTATTATTATAATCAAGATACATTCAATTTAGCTTTAGATCATACTGCTATAAAAATGATTTTCGATTTGTATCAGTCAAAATTTTGTTTTTCCAATTTTGGAAATGTTGAGTCGTGCATCTTTACAGCAGCTTTTAGCTGACATCCATCTATTTTTTTACCCCTCAGTAATCTTACTACCTTCATATGAGAACTTTGTACAATAGCACAGGAATATCCCAGCACCCTGTAATAAGAAAGGTAGTTATCTTGTGCAGTGGGTTACTGTCTGGTGATCTCAAACACATCACACTTCTCTTGGCACTGTGAGGGGCCAGTCCGCTAGATCCCATGCTGCTGTCAGGCCTATCACGAGTTTTAGTTTTGTGCTTTTGCAACCTAAGCAATTGTAGAAACATACTTTGTAGGGCAGTGTTAATTCAAGAATCTCATCTTTTGCTGAGATTTTAAACAATATTACTTTTATACTGGACAGTGATTGGTAACTGTAAGGGAAAGGTTTCATTAAAGAGTGTGAAATCGTGGTAAAAATGAATACTGAGAGTCATAGGTGGTTTAAAAATAGTACCAGGAGGTACCATGATGACTTATTCACAGTTTCAGTAGAACGTACCATTTACCTGATAAGTTTCTCAAGAAGAAAAACATCATAAACACCTTTAAGTGAAACTGTGTAATTGTTCCTGGAGGAAGAATGACCTCAGCCTTATCTTTTGATGCTGTTCAAGTGAAACAAATAAGGAAACTATCACACAATTATTTACCCTGTCAGTGAGTCAGTGGCACATTTTCATATTTATCCCTGTGGTATGATTTCCTGGGGTCAGTGGTTCCTTATCCTGTTAACTGTCAGCCCACACAAGTTGCTTGATCAATAACTACAGTAAAATCAAGAATCTACCAAGGGTTTTTTAGATGTCTGCTTAAGGCCAAAAAGTTCACCTACTCAGTTATATAACTGTTTGTCATGTACCACATTTTCTATTTTTGTTGATCAAAATTGTACATTACAGCAATGGATGAATCTGCAAAAGTTACATTTACTCTTACAGGAGGGGAATAAAGCTTGACTTCAGAATGGACTGAACACACAATCATAAAAGGATACGAACTGGGCAAAATGAATAACTTCATGACTTTTCATGTGCTACAAATGTGAAGCATCCTTAGATTTACTTCTACTATTGTCTATGCCACATTGCTTTTCTTGTTAATTTTTCACACCTTTATTTCAATTGGAGGGATTAGACAAAATGTAAATAGCAGTTTCCATCAGTATCACACTCTTTGTGAGGTAGTGTCTTTCAAGAAGCAGGACTTTCAAATGATTAAAACAGTGTTACTTTTATTTAGCACTATAACTGCTCTAATAGTTCATAAGCTTCCAAGACTTGATCAACTAGGAGGAGACGTGCAGTAACATGCGGGAAATGTCTTTCCAGGATGGAATACTTCAATGATTGACTAATTTCCACTCAAACGTATTAGCCACCTCACCATAAAGTCAGCCTCTAAGCAGAACAGATATTCCATTACTTCATGTTCGCCTCACCTGAACTTAGTGTATCGGACACTTCCTGAAAGAAAAAGGGTTCAAACCAGGTCATGATACTGTATTACTGTAATGGAAACCAACGTTAATGGGCTGTGAAAACTCATACAATTATTAACCTGTTCATTAAGTCAACTTCACTATCAGGTCAACCAGGACACACATAATTGTTGATAAAAAGGTTCAATTGTTTTGTTTGTATTGTGTATGCATGCCTGTTTTTGTGTCACCCTAATTCTTACTGGGTTTTGTCTAAGTTAATCAAGTCCATGATTGCAGATTTTCCACTTATAATTCTTTAGTGAGCATCTTTAAAATTGAATGTCCAGTGTCCTTCATTAGACTGCATACCCATGTAACTGTTGCCAATTCACAGCTTATTATTGTCTATCATCATTAAATGAAACTGAATGATGGCTATCCATCAAAGACCGAACCCTGTCATGGCATGGCCATGATGGCATTCCTTTAATCATAAACTATATTGTTTGGAAACAAAGGACTTTATTGTTGGCTTTAAGTTTCTCTTTCAGTAAAAGGAAACGTTTGAGAATAAAGGCGTTTTCTGAAAAAACAAGGATACAAAAGCATGTGAGTTAAATCAGGAAACAGTTATGATTTTAAGGTTTAGACAGATGTCTGTGCAGTAGATGGTTATTCTGTTAACCCTTAGTCATTTACATAGTTATTCATTTTACTGTGGGGCCAGAACGACCTGTTTTCCAGATGACTGTGTGTGCCACCATCTGCACAACTCTGAAATTAAATGTTGCTTTTCCAATTAAATTAACATTAAATTTCCACTCGATTTACTCAATATATATCTTCTGACCACCTTATACTTAGTGTCTACTTTGATTCACTTTCACTCTCACCTGTGCGTCAATAATCTTGATTTTAATAAATAATTTCCAGTTCCTTTCAGATTAGCCATTGAAAGATACTAATCGATTACAACTGTTATATTGCTGAACTCAACAGCAACTCGAGAGACATTTCTTTTGTGACACACAAGTTGTGGGACAATATATATTCTCTTTATTCAGGCTTCATAAATGATCAAGGTTTCCCTCATTTACAATGATGTTGAGATACAGAAATCACAGTAAACGAAAAAAAAAAGTGGCGTGTTTAGTGATAAAATAACATAAAGAAATCACACTCATGCATAAAAACTATATAAAATTGTATATTTTTGATGAAGGAACTCTTAATTTTGAGAAAATAAAACTTGTCACCATATTTTCGCAGTTTTTTATTTTTCCTTACCTTTCTTTGAACTGCACCATAAATGTGTCCATCTTTTCAACAGTCAAAATAAATGAGCAGATTATTTTTTTAATGTAATTTTTATTTTCTGACCTTTTCATATAATTATTTACAATGCATGAAATCATCAAAAACACATTTTGATTCTACTGATCTGCTGATCCTGTTTGGCACTTCCAATAATTTTAAGGCCAGTTTTTTGGTAACTAATTAAATACTGAACAGCTTACAGGAGCCAAGGCAACACAGGAGCTCTGAACTGAGACCTTGCAGACCAGGAAGGTAAGATGACATAAAATTTAAAGAGGTAAAAACATAAATGGAGTAAAGGAGTAAAATATGGGAGGAAGCATACGGAAAACCCTTAAAACATCACTAAATAGTTATACACTACGCATCAGCAATAACAACATTAAGATTAGTTAAACTCTGTTAAACAGCTATCATGGTAATAAAGCAGTTGGAAAACAAGGATAAAAACAGTCAATAAAATAAATACATAGGTCAATGTAAAATGAACACACTTGTTGACATAAGAAGACAATGAATGACTTGATAATGTCAGTGCTGGGTGTCAAACCAGGCATATTGAGTTAAATTTGATTTCTTCCAGAAAATGTACACGTAACTTTTTAAAATTTCAGTTACCCATAATAATCATAGGTGTTTTAATTTTCTAATAGGCTTAAGTCATAATAATATCTAGGATTGAACTGATTTGATAATGTAATAAAAAATGTTTCTTCAAAAAGAGAAAAAGAAATGATCAGCAATATATACTGAAACATTTCCAAGTAAAGATTTGAGGCTGTTTTGGGGAATATTTAATATTTGTTTTGTGATGAAAATTATACACAGTTAATTTGTGTATCTCAATTACAAAGTGCACTCACAGACAATATTTAGAATTTTACATAAATATAACATTGTACAAAAATAAATTAAACTCATCCAGTTAAACTGACGTGTATTAGTGAATTTCTGTCGAAGTACACCATCATAGAAACAGCCAAAACCAGGTCCCTTAAAACCTTCAACAACAGATAATCTCAAGAAATAAACAGCTCATGTGTTGGGTTTCACCTGAAGCTCCAACAAACATCATTACATATGTTATTAAATGTACACTCATGTATGATACTTTACAGTGTATTGACTATTTTACATCTTTATTTACATTATGTTTATTGGCACTTTAAAGCACTGCATTCAGGTTATGACTCATTTCTCAGGTCTGGACTTTGCTCAGGAGACTCTGTAGATGCTTGTCCTGTCTGTGATGTGTTTTCATCTCCTGAACTTTCGTCACTTTGTGTATCTGACAGGTCTTGTTCAAAAGCAGGGTTTGTTTGCCCTTGTCTGTGCCGCTTCTGAACCTCCTCGAAGATCTGAAGAACCTTCATAGAACACATACACAACAGGAGCAGATGTCAGTGTACATTTAACCTCACTTGCGATACGTAATCAAGAGCAAATGGAAAAAGATGGACCATCATTATTCTTACCTTTGACTTGGGTATCAGACCCACCCTGAAGAAACCAATTTGCCCTGTTTCAATCTTAGTGCAGTCAACAACAGTGGATGCAATATTCTCTGGGGATGGTCCATCACACAACACGCCATCCACCTAGAGCAAAATACTCATATACTCTGGTGAAAAACACAAAAACACAGTTCCTCTTGTCTTAAATTAAACTGAAATACTGTTCCCACCTTGTCGCCTAACTTGGCATAAACTTGGTTGTGGTGAGTTGTGTCTGCTTCGCCTGTAGGGTTGGCTGAGGTAACAGCGATGGGCCCCACCTGCAAGACAGAACGTTGTTGTTTACGAAACAGTCTGTTGAATCCTGACCTTAAAATATGCTGTGATTCATTTTCCCAGCAGTACCAGATTTATGAGGTGTGTGGCCACAGAGCAGTCTGGGTTTCTTATAGCAATGCTTTTTGGAGTCCCGATGTGTTTGGCAGCATCTCCTAAACCAAAGGTGTCCATCCATGGGCCTAAATTATTCAAGAAACCAATATAATGCATGTGAAACCACTACTACATGATGTGAAGAGCCCACACAAGGAAAATAAACACTTAAAACACACTGTCACATATATTAACTGACCTCTGGGTATGACCATGCTGATGGAGGAGGGCCACGCAGCCTCCATGAAGTCCAGCAGCAGAGGGCTCAGGAGGTGTCGCACTGGGTCCAGCTGCTTGATAGAGGAGATCCACATGGACATGGGTCGGTCCTGTGCCTGCTTTTTCACCCTGTATTTGAACACAGCAGTTACAGAGTAATGGCACTCAACCATTAATCATTAAAGTAACAGATAGGAGAGGTCTCAATAAAACTGGAACTCACTTGAAGGCTTTGACCACTGCATCAGGTCTGTTACAAGCTGCCACCAGCACATAGACCGTGTCAGTCGGCATTCCACATATGCCGCCGTTTTTCATGATTTCTGCAGGCAGGAGAAGACAAAGACAGTTACATCAAACACATGAGCAGCTGTGAATTTCTAAAAATACACAAAATATGATTATTTTTTTGACAGACTCCTACCTGCAATCTGCCTCACAGATGAGGCCTTACGGGCTGGTACATGGGGACAGATATTTGCTCCCCCGCCAAGTCCACTAAGTCTGACTAATGGTTTTCCTAAGGGGATCTGTGGGCTCTGAAAGGTGCTGTTGAATATGTGTGCCAGGAAGCAGTAAAAACTGATAAGACCAAAGATTATAGTGACTCCTATGTCGTAACCGTACGGTAATGCATCAACAGCGTCCAGCAGGAAGCTTATCAGGATGAGCTGGAAGGTAAAGGTGTAAGCAAACCAGGCGATGTTAAGAAACAGCGCTGCAGCTGTCACTAAACAGTTAAACAGCATGAAGCTAACAATTCCCACAGCCACATTAAAGCTCCTGGTTTCCCTGTACAGGCCGCCGTATCGTGTCAACCCCCACACTGTCCACATCATCCCATAGAAGATAAAAACTGTGCTCTCAAAAGTTTTACCTCTGGCAAAAGCCACTGAGCCACAGAGCAGCTGGAGGGCCCCTCCAGCCACCACCACCCAGGGAAGAATTAGAACAGTCAGGGGGTCTTTTTCTCCAACTGATGCTGTTATGGCAAAAGCAGCCAAAACGCTGCAGGCATGGCCTAACACCTCTGCATCTGCATACTTGGAGTAACCAAGGTGGGGCACATGCAGCTCTTTACTGGATCTGAGAGTAACACCCCGCATCCGGGTAGCTACAGTCTTGAAAATGGCCTGACCTGTGGGAATCTTTGTGGTGGAGACCATATTGAAGGTCGTAATGAAAAGCATTACAGCAGTTATTACAAATATAGCACCCTGTACACCCTGTGTGCCTCCTTGAAAGAAGCCTTTAGGCTGGGATGCTATTGCGATGCAGTAAGCTGTAAAGAATAATTGGTAAAGCCCCTCCATCACGCTCTTCTGACAGCTGAACAGAGCCAGGATGGAGAACAAAATAGCGAAGACAATGGGGAAGGGAACAGGGGAAAGAGGCTGAATTGTGAAGTGTGTAAGCAGAGCACTGTAGCCCTCTGCAAACTTTAGCACAGCAGTAAAGCCGTAAAAAGTGGCAGCCAATGTGTCCATGGCTCTGTACAGGAGGACACAAATGCAGAGCTGGAAGACCCCAGCGGTCCACAGCCAGGGGACATGACCCACAGAGGGCAGGGGATCCTCACTCACACCTACATCCAGGAGAGGATAGACAAGCACAGAGGCAGAAAGCAGGTTCATTACCAGACCCACAGACACAAGGTCACCACAGCCTTTGCTCTGCTCTGTTTTTAGCTCATGTTTTCCTTTCAGGCGTGTTCCTGGAACCTCCACCTTACCATTAGTGATGATGGACAGTAGACGTCCAAAACCAAAGTAAACTCCCACAACACAGACCAGAAGGTAGTTTGCAGCAGTGGCAGACTGACCAAAACCTGCTGCTGACAAACCTGCAATTTGATGGGCACATGCTAAGCTAATCCCGACACCTATAAGACACAGGAGGGCTTTCTTTGCTATGGCTGCTATGATGCCTATAATAAGCAGGGCTAGGGTGAATGCTGCAAGACCTGGGACCAGGGAGGATTTCAGATCTGTGGAGCGCAGTACTCCCTGACCCACCAGGATGTAGACCAGCCCTGAACCAAACCACAGAGCAGAGACAGTCAGGCAAAGAGAGGAAAACAGCTGAGCGTGGGAAAGACTGCGACGGATACCTGTGAGACAAAAAGATACATTGAATGCACAAATGAAGATAAAACAACATTTTAAATGAATGAGTCAAGACACTTCTTCAGATAAACTTCCACCAAAACTCACCTGCATAAAGAAGGAGGGCTGCAATAATGAGGAGCAGGATCCCCAAAGCAGTATGGGGGATGAAGTCTCTTTCAGGTGAGCTGGCATAGTTGTTCACCAAAAGTAAGAGGGAACCTAGCAGATAAATAATCAATTATGTAAAGTTAATAATAATAATAACAACAACGACAACAACAACAACAACAACAATGATAATAATTATAATAATAATAACAATAACTTTATTTTTATGTGCTTTGACAAACAGTCATAAAGCACCGAACATCAGCACATGGAAATAAAAACAAATGAAAAATAAATGCTCAGTTAAAAACAAGGCCTCCGAATTGAAGGCCAATTTCATTTGTCATAAGGATCCCAGACGATAAAAGAACCCTACAACACAAAATGAGACTATGAGGACCAAAATAAAAACATAAAATAGGTAAGAAAAGAAATGTAATTAAAAAAGGGGGGTAGAAAGCAGGAAACAGGATAGTACATATAAAAAGACGATATGAATAATGATAATGAAATCATAACAAACTAATAATGACGGTAATAGTAATGATAAAATGGAATAACAAAAATGAGCAGGAAAAAGGTTAGAGGTTTAAATAGGAAAAGATTATAAGTTAAACAAAGGCTAAAAAGACAGTAAGTCAAAATAAGATAGAGGTAAAAGAGATTTAAAAAAAAGGGAAAAGATGGCATAACATAAAAGCAGCTATAGAAATAAAAAACAACACAAGCACCTTTTTGAGCCTAATCTTAGATAAAAAATGTGAGATTTTCCCTTTAGAGCAACTTAATATCAATTTTATCTCAGAATAACAGATGTTTCAGTCATTTATTTCACCTGCACTGACATTTTGACTTTTGTTTTGGCTTTAGTCAAAGAATAAAACTTTTAATACTTCTACTGGACTGTGTTATTTTGATCTCACACAAGTCTCCAAAGATCTGATTTCAAACCCACAGACAGAATATAGGATATTTTTATTTGTGCACATCGTTTACAGAGAAATGATGACTTGTTTTGGCTTTTACTGTTTTCAAAACCATTCTTCAGTTCGATACCAAAATACAAGGATGCTTTACATTTATCAGCATGATTTTTTTAATGATATTTAGGATTTTAAAAACTTTCAAACTCGCTTGATAAAGCTAACATGTTGATACAAAAGTTAAAATAAAAAACACAACAGACCGACGACAGAAAATCTTACCGCCTGAGATCCCCAGTAAGCCCACCGAGACATGCAGTGACTTCTGATAGGTCATGGTTAAAGTGAACGAGTGAGGCGTGAGGACGCACCTCCACGGCTTTATAGTGCGTGTGACGTCATCACGCAGGAGCCACAGCAGGAGAGGAGAAACCGCACCTCACAGGGAAGAAGGGAAAAAACACACCGGCACGAATGTTTCCGCTACTTGTTTGTCAAAAAGAGAGTGGAGTGGGAATATTAGGCCACAGTTGTCCCCTTTTAAACCAAATATCAACACTCATAATTATTCTATAGAGCACATTTATTAGACTATTTATAGTATGTGTCCTATAGGCTACAGTTTAGACATTATAGACCTAATGTTTGTGAATATTTGATTTTAAGGCGCAAAATAAAAGGCTCAAACCATTATCATAGACCGGTCAAAAGAAATATTATGGAGTTTTTTTCTCCTGGTTTTTATTTAGTTTGTCCATAAATGAATGTAGATGTGTCTTACAAATCAGTACGGAATGTAAACACAGAAAGGTGTGACAGGAAATTTATACAACTAGAAATTCCCGTTTCTTGTGTGGACACCTACCAAATAGGTTAATGACAGGGATGACTCAGGTAAAACGTGCATGATGTAATGAAAGCAAGTGGTGGGAGGAGTTAGTGAAGTGCTATAAAACTTCTGCTTCAACGATGAATGAGCACAACCCTGCTGAGCAGCTCCATTACACTGTCTAAGGTCAGGACAACCACAAGGTAAGATGGATCAAGAGGTTCTTACTTGTAGACTTTCTTAAAGCTTTGTCTTCTGACAAAAACACATGATGATTTTAGACAGTAATGTTAGGGTATAAAGTCATCTAAAGAAGGAAGTAGAGCAGAATTGAGTTGTGGACCTTGAGCTGCACACTTTTTGCAGTCAACAGAGTTACCTAGCAGCGCTCTCTTATTTCCCTGTGGCTTTCCTCTTTAACATCTTGATAAAAACAGGCAGCTATGAAACAGTGCTCTTTATGTATCAAAACAGGGGAGAAACTCTTCATGGTGAGTAACCTGGATGTGTACTGATCTGTGTTCAATGTGTGCTTTTATAGAAACTATGGCAAAACGTGTTGCAGTCATTCTCTCAGGCTGTGGAGTTTATGATGGCACAGAGATCCATGAGGCCTCTGCTGTCCTCGTCCATCTGAGTCGAGCCGGAGCAAAAGTAAGTGCAAGAAAAGAAGAGATGCAACCTTGAACCTTTTTATTTTTTTAAATTTACACTTTAATTTGGAGGGACTTTCAGGGCTATGTGTCAATCCATGTCTAGCAATGCAACATTAAGTTCACTGAAAAGGTTGTCTGAATCCCTCTGCTACTGATCTAAAATCTAAAAGGTTTTTCACTGTTTTTTATTTTTTTATTTCAGGTGACGATGTTTGCTCCTAATGCAGATCAGATGCATGTGGTAAATCACTGCGAGGGTAAACCTACAGAGGAGAAGAGAAACATCCTGCAAGAGAGCGCTCGCATCGCTAGAGGTGATGTGACTGATCTGGCCAAGTTGGATGTTTCAGCTTTTGACGCTGCCATCATACCAGGTTAGACTCTTCATATCGCACTCACACACGTGAGACAAAGACATAAGGAGAGACAAAGTTCTGTGATATTGCAAATGAACCCTGAATGCTCTCCCTCAGGGGGCTTTGGTGTGGCTAAGAACTTGAGTGACTGGGCAGTGAAGAACAAAGACTGCACCATCCTGCCACATCTAGAGAAGCTCATCAAGGCTTTCCACAAAGCCGGTAAGCCGCTAGGCATGTGCTGCATCTCTCCCATCCTCGCTGCCAAAATCCTGCCTGGCTGCGAGCTCACTGTGGGCCAGGACAAAGAGTGTGAAAAGTGAGTGAAACAGTCTGTCATCATGATGACTGTGAAGTATGTTTAACAATCTGAGCGTAGAGCTGAACATTTCCTCTCTTCTCACCCTTAGGTGGCCGTTCGCTCAGACAGCAGGAGCTGTGAAAGAGATGGGCTGTAAGCACGTCAACACTGATGTGGATAAAGCACATGTTGACGTCAAAAACAAACTGGTCACTACATCTGCATTTATGTGCAATGCTCCCGTTCATGAAGTTTTTGATGGAGTAGGAGCCATGGTTAAGGAGACTCTGAAGCTGGCTTGATAAGTCTCTGACTAAATACTGGCTGTTTGTGTTTATTTACTTGAATTGATTCACTTTTCTGTAATTTTTGATGTTACAGCACTTAGCCACAAGAATTCACCTGATCTTTTTCTCCATCTGTTGTTTTGAAAGTTTTAATAAAAGTTTCTTTATAAACTTGAACTTGTAGTTGCTTCATTAATAGGGAAGAGAAAGTCTCTGTTTGCTCCATACCTTTAAAAAAACTGAGAAGGTAACAGCACAAGTTTAGTTCTTTTCAATCCATATGGAACTGGTGGAGCAATTAAAACTTTGTCTTCTAAATACTAGCAGGACTTAAGCTCTAGGAAATAAACATAAATGTTGGCTCACTACTGTTTTTCCTTTTGCTATCTATTTTTTTTAGCTTCTTACGGTGTTTTGAAAATAATGACAACCCACATTCGTTTAAAGGGCATACTAAAGTATGCAGTGTGGCTGACACTCACAGCTGGTGCTGCATATTTTTCTTCTTAATTATGAAACCTGTTGGAGGAAAGTAGGAACAGTAAATTGTTGTTGCTCAAAACTTCTGATCTGCTCCATTTGCAAATACATTTTCTGTCTACATACCACACAGGCGGTGCCGTACATCCTGCCACATTTTGAAATAACATTTTTGAACTGAATATGCAAAAGTAAAACACTGAAGACAGTTTGAGAAAATAACTTCATTGGATCTGTATTGTCAAGGACCATTAAGAGCGTCACTCTTTAGTCAGTAAACTATTATTTAAGTTACCCCAGGGTACAAATAAATGTGAATAAGTCCATTTACTCCTCTATCTGTGTTTTCATGTAGCTGCCAAGGTCCTGTTCTTACAGATCACTCCATTCTACAGCATGAACTACTTTTCTTTCATAAGGCAGACTCATAAAATTGCAGAATTCTGTCTGCATTGGTTTAATTAAACAAAAATAACTCATGACTCATTACACTTTCTTCAACTTTGGAGGTGGAGGTCCAAAACAGGTTCACAATGAAACAGGATGTCTTGTATCTCAATACCACTGAAATTTAAACCAAGTATAACTATTTGTGTTCCAAACCAAATCAGTACATTTTATATTTTTAGTTCACATTTCATACAGATGTTAACCAGATGTGCTTTTCACAGAGGATTATAACAAGCAAAGAATTTATCCTGCATTAATAAATCTTCTTAACACACAATCTTGTCAAATTAAAACAATGAACCAATGAATTCAGAGGCATATAGATTTCCTAACACAATCTATAACCAACCCACACACATATATCAAAACCATGTACAATGGCTCCTCTAACCAGAGCGCACACATGACCATATGCACATGAATATTCACCCATTGTGGCACCAAGGTGATTAAATGCACCTTCACCTGTTTTTGTTTTGACTTTAGGTACATTCAACAGACCCCTACCTGATGATCTGAGTGGGTAGGGAAAATGATATCCAGGTGTGATACTTCTTAGAGCTTTGTGGACCAGAAGTAATGCTTCAAATCTGAATCTGTATTACACTTTTTCAATAGTGATGTACTGGGTTCTGCTTTTTTGGTCTCTACTTTGGTGGCAGCATTTTAAATGAGCTGAAGTCTGCTTACTCACTCTGTAAGAAGTCCAGCAAGGATAGTGTTACAGTAACATAATCTGGTGATTGAGGGTTCGAGTTGTGACACAACAAGCACCTCAGTAAAACTACCTCATAGAAATGCTCTTAGATGTTGGAATATGTCATGTTGGTTCACCTGTAAATTCATCAAAATATGAATGGACTGTGTAAATGAACTGTAATTCACTAACAGACACATGTCAGGATATATTAGCAATTTATTTTAGAGCAGATTTAAACACATGGGTTTAATGTGTACAATAAAAACTCCATATCATCTCATACATCAGAAATTCTTATCTTCATTCTCCATCATATGGTATATACAGTTAAGAAATTTTACAAAGTAAAAGTCAAGTTGAATATAGTGCACATTTTGCTTTAGCTGATACAAATCTACACTCATGTTCATCAAAAAAAGACTTTTGTCATTTTTTGAAACATTATTGTTGAACATGCAGGAGTACTTTCATGTGGATTTGTTGGAAAAATGCTCGAACTGATCCGCTCCACAGGCCAGCTCTGTTGCATGAAATTTCCTGGGACGATCAGGATCCTAGCAGCAACAGAAAAACTCTGAGTCAGCACACAACAGGACTGACTGATAATACTATCAAGTGAAGAGCAATTGATATGTCTGTTTGTCTCACCTGTATGGGATAAGCACAGGTGGGGACATATCGGATCACAAACCCACAGCGCCTCTTCTGGGACATGTTGGCATCACTGGCATGGATCAGGAGTCCATCATGAACCTTTTGAAACCAACACCAGATTCTTTTTTATTCACTCTCCATCACACTTATTTATCAGTCTGCCATCTTTTACTAACAAACAAACAAACTCACAGACATCTGGCCAGCTAACAGAGGGCAAAGCACAGCTTCATCAGCCTGCACCAGCTCCTCTGGAATCTCCTGGTTGACGGTCAACATGTTTCCAGGACGGATGGCTTGGTGATGCGGTAACATACCAGAGCAGTGGCTGCCTATACAGGACACAAAGACACCAAGTCAATCAAGTAGAATCAATGAATGCTTACCCCACTGAACACTTCTTTGACTATATTGGGATTCATGTAAATATTATAATATTCTACCATTATTTTAATGAAGAACCAGGGCAGTTTTGAAAATTCATGAACTTGCACCAGAGGCAAAAATAAAGTGAAGTGATACCTGGGATGACCTGAAGAGCTCCATTCTCTTCCAGTGAGTCATCTAAAGCGAGCCACACAGAAAGGACAGGGCCACCAGCAATACCCCAGTACCTGCCGACAATACAATCACAGTCAGACACAACAAAACAAATACAACACCTTTTGGCATGAAATCCCAGAGCCAAATCTACCTCATATCTTGATGCCAGGCCACATATGGAAGCCCATTCTCGCCGACACTCCCATCAGGCATGGTTTCCCCCTCCTCTCTCTCCTGGGGGTCAGATTTGAGTGCTGGGTATTTGCAAATAAAACGAGAGTCCAGCAGGATCACATCTGGGCCCAGGACGGCTTTGACCACTCCGAGGATTTGAGGGTGTTTCGTCAGGTTTCTCACCCATGGATACTGAAGGTGAACATTGTGGAGGCTATACTGGGTGTACTCTGTACCTAGAAACATGCAAACACACAACATGACCTGTCAATGACAATACTGCTAGGATACCTCCTTTTATTTCCAGTTATCATCCCCTTTTCTTCTCTCACTCCTTGGTTTCAAAGCGCTAACTTACCAAATTCTTCCTCCAGCGCAGAAAAGGCCTGCCTAGCCTCCCTCAGTTCAGTCTCAGTCAACACAGGCAGTGCTGAGAGGAAGCCCTGCTGGTTGTAGATCTCCTGCAGTTTGGTTGCGGATGCAGTCATCTCTATAAGACCTGTTTACCACTGATGCCTTGGGCCTGCTTCAGAAATTTATAAGGCAGAAACTGTTTGCGGAGGGGGAAAACAGAGGGAGAAAGCAAAGTTTAAATAACTTAAGATGAAAAATGAGCTTTTTCGCCTGGTTATAGAGATGTGCCCTGCCCGATAAACATTCAGCTGCATTTACTTAGGATGCACTGAGCACCACCTTGTCCTGCCTGCCCTAACAGTCAAATATAACCCTGCAGCTACACCTGTGTCAGTGTGAATGAGCCTGCTGTGAGTGTTAGGAGTCTCTTTTTGACTGTATAAACTCTGCAGATTAAATTAGACTAGGAAAAGATTACTCCTGACAAATAAGACAAATTAAGGCTATTTTTTTCCCCTTTACCTCAATGGTCCTTCGGCTGAAATTTCAACACTTGACCTACAGTGAAAAAACCTGCATACCATATTCTGACGAGTTGAAAATTGGTAAAATCATACTAAAAAGTAAAACTGATATTTAAAATGAAGTCTTAAACATAAACTAAGGTTTTTGTCTTAGCACATAAAAACTATTAAAAAGTTGAATTTGGTCCAGATTACAGATATTTTGTTAGATCTTAAATCTTGAAACTATTGCCTTTTCAATCTAAATCTTGATCTACAAAGTTGAAACACTTGTAAACTTAATCTAAAACCCATACCTGTCTGCTGTTGCGCTTCTTGTCTCTCTTGAGAGTCTAAGCTCAGGCTTCTGTCAAGCTCCTCTGAAAGGGGCATTATATACTCCTCAGAGCACGTTCTGGAATTCCCACTAACTTCATTTTCTTACAGTTGTCCATATAATTAATTATCTTTCATCAGGAAAGGTGAAACTATGACTGTGTGATGCAAAATGCCCCCGCGTCAAAGTTTCTGAGGTGTGGTGTGAAATGCAATGACGCTCAATGACACAGTAAGTAACATGAAACCTTTTCATGCAGGAACTACAAATTTATTTTTCCAAGCAACACAATGTTTTATGATCAGGAAGCTGAGCAGAAGAAACTTCAAAGCTATTTTTGTGCTTCCTTTTAAGACCAAATGGTCAAGGATAATATAAATGACCTATTTTTAGCTCACAGTGAGTCATTATGCCAGTCAGATTTTACCACTCATCACAACCTTATTCTTGACTTCTCTGTTCCTGGTCAAGAAACCGAGAGAGAGCGGGGATAATGACAGACAAGGACATGATTCATTTTGAGTGTAACCTGTGAGTGAAAAGGAGTGATGCATTTAATCAGCTGCTTTCATTGTTATTTGATTAACATCGAACTGGTGCAGATTCAATAATGTCTGCAGTGTTATCCTTGTTATGGAGTTTTTTTTGTCAGTTTGCCATGTTTTACATTTTCCTGCGGATAAAAACACAACAGGAATAGTCAGTATTTTTGTGTCACTCTGCCTCAATAACAGCACATCAAATGTCTATTACTATTATAAAGGTGATGGGGAAGGGTCTGACATACCACTTTTTTATTCATAAAAGGAGGTACACACCCAAAACAGTAACCGTATTTGCTTGATGAAGCCCTGGTGTGTTTGCACAGTTTCTGAACTTTTGATGCCTGATGTCATTCCTCTTTAAGTCCATGTGTGCTTAGGGGGAACAATTACTTTAAATTGATTATTACATGAACCTAAACGGAAAAACAATTACACCTCATGTGAAAACAGCAGTATCAGGAAACTCTCTTTTGGGAAATCTTCAAGGACAAAGGAAAGAATAAACACATGGAAACTCCTGATAACCCACTGACCTCCTCAGTGGTGTGATGTCATCTATCAGTAGTTTTGGACAAGGATTATTGACCAGGAAACAGCGGCGGTAAAAGAAGCAGTAAATAGTTAAGCCTCCTTCAGTGTCAGCAAACATGAGGTCAGCAGTACATGTCAAAGGAGAAAGAGACTGCCTGATAAAATGCAGTGATCATGTGTGACCTGACACACTCTGCTGTCATCACAGTCTGTGTGTTTTCATCTGTTCAAATCAGTAAATAAGCCATCAGTGACAGCTCCTCGAGTTAAAGCTCCTGTGACGAGCTTGACAAAGAAACACTGTCTCTCTGATTGCTGAGTTTGTCCAGCTGTCTTTAAAAAAAATCAGTTTTCTTTCTAAACAGTCAGATTTATCCCTTATCAAAAATCTTTGCAGTTGAAAAAGTCAACAAAGGCTATTTCTACAGCTCACAATTACACAGTTTGCCTGATACCTACTCTGCAGCAATGTTTTCAAGTATTTTAAATAATTATATAGAAAAAGTTAACGTTGATGACAATGGTCTTGTTTGCTTTTGTAGGTCACAAAGAGACATGAGTAGTATTTAAAATTAGTTTTATAGCAGGTTACAAAACTCCTCACAGGCGCTTTTATCATTCAAGATGGGATGACTTGAGCTCCATGTTGACATGGATTTAGTGCCCCCTGCAGACAAAGGTGTAACTTTTTTTTATTGTCTTTGATTGATCAACAAGAAAAATCACTAACTATGAAAATGTTAAACTCCCTTTGCCTGATAGCTACTGATAGGCAGTGGTTTCTGGCCTTAAAAATAACTTGAAATGTAATCAACATGGACATCTCTGGTCCTGTTTGCTTTTGTGGATCATAGAGAGGCAACAGTGATAATTTCAGTCTTTTTTGTGATCAGACCATCTTACTGGAGCTTAAATAACCCTGAGAAATCAGCAGATGAATGTGGTTAACATTTTTAGGAGTAGGTAACAAACAGTCTTAGATCAGCCTTTTGTATTACGTTTATTATATGGAATATAAATATAAATACGTACTTTATGACTTAATTGTTTTTTAAATCAAGTTTTTTAAAATATAACTTCAGAAAATTTTATGTACTTGATAGATATACACAGATCAGAGAAACTATAGCAAAGTGAATTGTTAGATACATTAAATATGTTATACATATCCAAGTTAGCAACTGTCTTCTTTTTCTGTTCAGCTGAAGGAAAATATTAGCTATGTTTCATATTTTTACTGTAACATCACTCTGTAGGATAGAAAATAATAGCAATTTCTCTGATCCAAGAATTGTTCATGTTGTCAATGTTCAAAAACGTAGTTCACAAAAACACCTTAAACTATCTATCAAGTATTATTCATGACATGAAAAGTCCAGTGTGACCTATTGTGTGGACCCACTGGCCTCTTGGTCTCTGTAACATTAGAACTCTGCCTCTCCAAATGTAACTCTACAATGTTGATAATCATGTATTTAAAGGTGATTCTACGAAATTCGTGATGTTTCCCCTTATTTGCTATCACCCTCAGTCAGACTCTTTGTCCCTGTTTGGGTGCTTTGGGCAGAGAGGGTGGTGCTGTTTCCTTTTCTCTCCACTTTGTGTCCTCTTGTCTCCCCCAGGTGGCTGCTGCTCATTATTGCAGCGATGGATCAGCACAGGGTCCTGGTTTGGAGTCGATTTCTTTAACAACAACCTCTGCAGCATCTGTTTGTCAGAGCGCTCCCGTCGAAAGTCATCCTCGTAAACCTTCAGCTGTAGAGATGTCACGATGACAGACAGCAAGACAGAGAATAACACATGAGACTCTAGTGACAAACACATCTTTGAGATTCAGAGCACAGTGTATTCATGCCATTAAAATGAGTTGATTCATTTCAAACCTTGAGGAAGCTTTGCCTCTGCAGACTTTAAGATGATATTTTACATTCATATCGTGTCTACAATTCTGTTACCCCTCGACTGCATGGCATATACTTGTCATGTTTAATGGTCTAACATGGTGCTGTTGGCTAATGTTTGTCTCTTGACTTTGACTCAACATTTGTCTTTAGGTGCGCTACATTATTTGTGTTTTGGTGTGAAAGTGAATGTGTACTGGCAGAGTGTGTGTGCACAAGCAGACACAATTAAAACAGTACCTGCTCTTGCAATAGTGCCACCTGTTGGCGCTGCTCCTCCCTCTTCTTCCTCAGTCTGCGGTTCTCCTGCTGTGTGTGTTTGTGATCGTTGTGTTCCGTCTCGTATTCTGCTTCATAAATCTGAGTCTGCAGCCAGAAGACAGCGGTGTGGCAGAGAGCCAGTATCAGAGCTATATCTTTTGATCTGCAGTTTTTTATTATTCAGCTAGGAGCAAATAAAACACGGGTACTGAGTCACCACTTGGTGGTGTACTTTACCACCTAATCCTCAGGAAAGCACCAAGCAAATCTTTCCCTGGCAACAGTGAGTTGACATCAGTTCTGCTCTCTTCACACCAGAAATGGGAACATTGTTTGATGTAAGGAAAAGGAGAGCAGCCCACCTGACATCTCAGAGCCTCCAGCTGTTCTTTCAGATCCTTTACTTCTTGTTGGGAGTCTCCCAGTGCTCCTGGTTTGGTGTTGCTGCTCTGACTTTTTCCTTTTTGCTCCTGACTAGAAGGAGCTGGAAGAAAGGAGGATGAGGGCTTGTATCCATGTACATGACCAGAGCCATCAGGAAGACCACTGCCTGGGCACAACACAGGACCTCTGACCACAGCACTGAAGTCGTCCTTCGATAAAGACATGAAACAAACAGGTGAAAAAACACCCACGAGTTGTTGATCTGAGTATACTAACAGTTCTAAAATTAATCTGCAGTACAGATGCACTGACAGGTATATCACCTGTTTGGTAGCTGTGCAGTTTTTGCCTGCATGATGCATCCTGTTTTCCAGCAGTCTGATGTATTCCTGCAGCTCCTGGTTCTTCTTCAGCTCTTGCATCAGTGCTTGCTCATAATACTCCTTTGCACTCTGCAGACCCAGGCACATTTGTCATTAACAAACCAAGCAGCTTTACAATAACCTAAATTGTTTGACGTCCACCTTTTAACTAAGAGCATTGTTGCATATTCACCTGTTGGTGATCAACTTTGATCAGCAGTCTGCTGTTGAGTTGTTTGATGGCAGCGTTTTCCAGCTCCAAGGCCTCCAGCCGGTGTTGCAGGCCCAGCGTGGCACTGCGATACACCTGGTCCCATTCCTCATTTAGCTTCATTAGCTGTAACACACCATCATCACTGTCATCATCATGTGCTCACGGCTGCCACAGCCTCGACCACAACCTCAGCTTCATTGATGTCATTACAGCTGCTGTCTTCCTCCTCAGTCACCATAATAATAAGGGATTCAGGAAGTGAATTTAGGTCAGACACTGAGATATTTTCCTCTCTATATACATCACTTTACATCAGCTGAAAGATTCATTTCTGCTTGTCTTTCTGACAGAAAGCGGCATTTAAGGAAAATCTAGAAATGAAGGTTGTATAATTGTAAAATATGTAACTTCTATGATGATTTCTTACAGCTCGGCAGCAGTTTTCACACAACGCCCACACTCCTCCTCTGGTTTCAGAAAAAGCTTAATGCGATCGCCAACATCAGCAGCAGAAATGTGAACCTGCAGAGAATCTGCACCAGTTTTAGATCATATTTTTTTTCACCTCTTTGTTGACTCTGCGGAGCTCAGTGTTCTTGTTGAGCAGCAGGAGTTTCTCCTGGTCATTAGAGGTGACGGTCATACTCTCTGTGATCAGAGTGACCTGCTCTTCCGTGGACAGCAGCCTGTCACACACAGGACTCACCTCTGCTGTCCTGCACACACATATAAACACACATACATAGATACAGTTCATACGTGTAAATGCATATGTGCTGTAAATAAAGTCATCATGAAAAACACTGGAGGAGGATTTCCATTAATAAGCCAAAGCATGTCGGTACAAAAGAACGTCAGAGTACTTTTGAACACCCACTCACACAGAGTGCACTTACAGAGAATCAAATTCAAGCTATTATGCACACCCACGCACACACAGGCATGCACAGTCACATTATGCACTTAAGACTCTCAGACACACAACACACACACACACACATGAACACGCACTGTGATGCATTTCTCTCCATCTCAAGTCCTAGCCAATCAGAATCTCTGTTTACTATCAGATCTATTAGCATATCGATAGCCTCTGGAAACAATGAGTGTGATGATCCCTGGAAAATGTTGATTTCTGTGGAACCACAAAGAGAGGAAAAAATATTTGGGATGATAAATTAGTAAAACCAGCGGCCAACCCAGCAGCCTTGTCTGAGAAGATCGCTGATGGGAAGGCACAGAGATCTGAAGCCCAGAGGGGGGAGACCTGCTTATTGAAAAACGCAACGCTCCTTGTGTAGACCCTTGGGCTCCTACACACAAACATACTATGGAGCTGATGCAACCTCAGAAAGCAAAGCGCTACAAAGAGTCACAATCTGCTAACACCTCTCATTGCCCTTAAGGCTCAACTCCCCCGCAAACACATGCTTTCCTCCATTTATGTACAGTGTCCTGCTGTGTGAAAACCAGCGTTACACAATTCAAAAGAGTATTGAACTGTCAGATCAAGGCAGTACAAAGAGGATGCAGGTCTATTATGAACCAATAATGAATCTGAAACCCAGTTTTCTCCACATATTAATGCAAATTTAAGGGTAGGATTTTCTTTTCTTTTTAAGCTTCAAGGAGTTGTACTTAAATACCAAAATTTTGAGAAACAAACTTTCATGCTATGAAATAAATATGAAGATTGATACCACCCACATGCCAACTTGTCAGGCTACATTCAGCAGTGGACTAGCTAAGCTTACCATTAAGACAGCCAACCAAGGGAGAGGCTGAAATGGTTTTGTTTTTCCAAAATTAACACAAAAGTAAGAAAACAATGAACTAAATGGGGAAAAAAAGTCTCCAAAACCCCAGCGGGTTGGTGTTTTCCAAGTGATTATGTGAGGGACTATTTCAGAGACTGAGGTAGTGATTTTTCGGATTATTGCTAGCTGCTTGGACTTCTTAAATGGATAATCTCTGCTAAAAACAATGACTTTCCCCACCCTTTAAAGATAAGAATTTTTAAAAAGTAACAAGTGATGTTAGGCAATTTCCCTACCTTTGGACAAAGCCAGACTAGCTATTTCCCTTTTAAGTAGCTCCAAGCTGAGCTGGGTTAACTGTCTGTGAACTGTAGCTTTGTATATTTCATGTAATAATAAGTGAGTGGTATTGATTTTTCTCTTGCAGTTTAATCAAAAAAGAAGTGCAAAAAAATATTTGACTTGACACTTTCATTTACAAAACTTCTCAAAGCTCAAGGATAGAAATGTTTTTTCATCTAGCTCAAAAAGTCCTTTTTTTTACCTTGGAGGTGACTTTATAAAAAGGTATTATCCTTCAGCAAGGTTATGTTCCACACCAAGAAGACTGCGATTCTCAGAAAAAGAAGTGACTATTAAACCCACATGGACAAATACATTCTTACACAATATAAAAGTTAACTCTGAGTCAGACAATCTAGCTAAATGTACACTCTGTACTATCTGGCATTTCTCTGGGTTCAACAACGCAGGAAGGCGCTTTTAGTGCAGGCTGTTTATGACCTTTAATGACTGAATCATCTGCACAGGACCAACACTTCTGTGGAGGATGAAAGCAAAAGCTGAAACAAATGATATGGAGCCTAATTTTAGTGGCCAGCATGAGTCCAAAAAGCTAACATGCCCGTGTCCAATACGATGTCTTGGCAAGTCAGCACAGTGTACTCAGCCATCCCATTGGGACTACACCATGCCTCATGTTGCCCAGATCCACAGGCTTTTCTCTTTCTGCCGCTCTGACAGCCGATACAAACTGCGTGACCCAGTTTCACCAAGTTTTCAATCGTGTACTGTCTTGGAAGGACACCAAAATGCCATTGCTTCCCACAGCAGCATGGTAATTTACTGCTGTGGATGATGATAGAGAGGGAGATAATATCTTTCCTTCTTGCTGATGGCAAATCTGACGAGTATGAGTCTAGATTTGTCCCCGTTAGCAACAGTTTTTTTAAAGACTACAAACAGATACCCTAAAAGAGGAAAGTAGACTGAATGTCTGTGTTATACTGGTCATCTGCGTTTAGGTATGTCCACTTTAACAACCATGAATTCAATAAAAACAGAAAATTTAATAGTATGTCAGGTTCAGGGATTGAGATTATGTAACTGGTCTCTTTTTTTTCAAACACTTTTTTTTCTTTTTATAAACACAACTGAGTGTCTGTGTTGTATAATTTGAACTGCAGCCTACATATGACCTCATCGGAAACCCCGCAGTGACTTTTAATTCCTCCTCTGACTGAACAGCAATACTCTGTTAAATGACTTGAACTTCTCTGTTTAGTGAGAAGAAAAATAGATTACCTTTCTGTGAAATCTTCAACAGTTCTAGTAATTTCAAAGGGAAAAGATGAGAGCCACCTCAAAAGAAATGACTTATGAATTGGACATGAAAGTCAAGAATATAGAAAATACTGTATTACTCTTAAATGATTTACATTTATCAGACATGTATGGCTTTTGTTGGTTTAGCTTTGAGGTGGAGAATGATGGCAATATAAAATCTTTTGTGACTTTGGTGTTCCTGTTTTTATGTAAGAGCTGTACTTGAAAAAATGTGGAACAGACATACCATACTTCTTCTGTTGATTTATGTTCCTGTTGGCTGGGAAGGCTGCTGCCTCTTTGTGAAGTATCTGTTTGAGTTCTTCCTGTTTCTGATGAGGATGGCAACGATGAGAAGGACGACAAGGACAGCACATCTCCATCCATGGCAAATTAAATCTTCCTAAATAGTCCAAAGTCAAAAATAAAATTAAAACACAGCCACATTCGCTAGTTCCTCCTCCCAAAGTGTAAAATAAGCATGTGGCGGAAAGAAAACAGTGTCGTCAGTATTGATACGTAGCAAAAGAGGAACCAACTTTGACCAAGAACTGCATGAACAGGAAGTGACACTTTGAATAGAGAGGGCCCGTCCCCCTGTGATGAATGGTAGAATATGTTTTACGGTACGCAGTCACACTGTACAGTTTACTGAATGTCGGCCAGTTCAAAGGGTGTCTGGTTTTGAGCTCATGTGGAGATTTTGGGGGAATTCCATTCAGAGCAAATGTGTTTGTGCTCATGTGTTTATGCTAGTGTGATTTTGTCAGTGTTTTTTTTTTTAACCCGTGAGCCAAGCTGTTGCATTGTGTTTTTTTAAAGAACAGCTTAGTATGGAGTGAGCTGAATAGATGCATATCTTCTGGATGATTATATATTGCATGATACGTAATTGATAATAGTAGTGACACATACATTTATTCATTACAAATAATGATAGGCTCAGGCTGATTCATTCACCAGTCTGCTCATTACGGGGACTGTAGGAAGGGGGCTATAGCAGGTTAATTAGTAAATCACACGTTCATCCAAGGAGCAATCAAGTAAATTAAAGGATTTTCGTTAATTATACTCCCCTTAGTCAGGCTAAGCTGTCCTTCATTAACACTAAGAGCATTGATTTACCAAACCCTGTTTATTGCACCTTTCCTCACCAACTGACTAGGACAGGTTTAAGGCCACTTATGGCAACAAACTTGTCTGATAAAAAAGGTGTCAAATGATCGCAAGAAGAGCTGTAGTGCAGTAGCAGAGATGTCCAATAACACCACAAAATTGTTTTTACAATACAAAAAGAATATGAAAAAGGATTTTTAGGTAATGGGCCTTCGCATAGAAAACTTGTATTGATCAGGAACTCGTAGAAAGCTCTTGAGTAAGCCCTCACCTAAGACAAAATTTGGACTGAGACAATATTTTTAAAATTTTGCTAGTTCAGACATTATATACATACATTACAGGTTTAAAGAATGCTCATGTTTTTCTTTTCTCTTCCCATGTAAGATCTATTCTTGGTCAGTGTATTGACAAGACCTTGATAATTATTATTTTTTTGATATCCATTATTATTTTCTGTATCTAATTGTGTAACTACTTACTTTACAAAACTAAGAGGCTGTTCAGTCTGAGAAATCTTGAGGGGCTCTTTAAGAGTAAAGGTCAAATAGCCAACAATAAAAAAATCCAGCGTAATGCACTCTGTTCTACTTCTCCTTAACCTCAGCTCAGCCTGTGTGACAGTGGACCACAATGTTGTATTTAGCTGTTTGAAATACTGTGACAGCTGAAATTAGCACTGAACTGGTTCATTTCCTATCCACCAAAAAGGTCTCTTTACTCAAGGTTTAGAAATAACTCCTCCACTGGTACTCCTCTCTCTTGGGGGGTCCCCCACGGATCTGTCTTGGGTCCCGTCTTCTTTGCTGTAACATGCTTCTGCTGGGGAAATCCTGCATGGGCTTGGTAAATGCTGTCAGTGCTTCCTAGACGGTGCTCAGTTTTATGTCCATCTGAAACCTTGCATTATGACTTGCCTCACTGAAGCCATGAATTGGATGTCCAAAAATTTCCATTGAAATTCCCCTAAAAGCCCAAAAAATTCCCCAAATTCCTGTCAAAAAAATAAATTAAAAAATTCTTAAAATGCATTGAAGTGCACTTTAATTTCTGTTTGAATTTTATTGAACATTAAACAAGTGTTGCTAATTTGGGGAAACTCATGAAAATTTGATTTGAGAAGTCCCAAAGATTTTAGACAATTTTCTCAGCTTGAGGAAAACTTACGAAAAACGTCATGGGCAAATCGACCTTGATGACATATGGATATAATAGCTGTTCAATACTATATAGAATTGTGAATATATTTTCATAATTCTTCTTTAATACGTTCATGACAGTCACTTCAAAGCTTTCAGAACATTTTCAGTCATATTACTGCTGCAGGTGAAGTTGCTTGACCTTGCCAGAACTCTAACATTCAATTATTGTTGAGATATTGAGATATGAGTCTTGGCAAGTGAGATCAATAACAAAGACCAACAAGGTCATCACTCAAGCTTTGACGCTAGAATAAAAAAATATGGCAAACTAACTTTGTACTGCTTTGTTCCAAGGTGAAAACGATTGTGTATTGTGTAAAAGTTGGACTGACTTGGTTCAGACGACAACAGCAGACCTTTACATTTATGGAAAAGATTTAGTGTTGTTTTCTGCTGTGGTATCCAGAGGCATGAGTCCTCTCACCATCAGATGCACCACTGTGAGATAAAAGCAGCAACGGCAACATCATGTCCATGCTGCCCTGTATCTCTGACTTGCTCCAGTGATTCCATTCAGTTGTCTATTCAATCTATCATGGACCCCCGTCAGAGTATTGCTGTGCCAAGCAGGGGCTTTGCTGGGAGGCCCAACAAGGGAGTAGCAATGCAGTGCCTTTATTGACCCAAGCCTCTGACAGAGCCAAGGACAAATGGGCCGCTGCTTCACACAGGGATTGATTTTTAGTCTAACAGGAGATCGTGAAGGGGAACAGAGAGTGTAGAGTTCTCCTAGGTTACTGCCACACCTGTAAGTACCTGATCTAAATTTTCCATCAGCAGCTAAAAGGTGAAAGTCTGTGTTTTTGGACAGGATTGTTTCTTTGGTCTCTCTGCAAATCCACTCTATAGGTAAAAGTTGTCTCAGCGGTTTTGACAGACTCTACACGGGACAATCATTGGATCTGACCGACTACAGTCATTCCAGGTTCACAAACCGAGTGCATCTTTGTACTTCTCATTAATGATCGAACAAACAAGACAGGCATGTCAAATCTGTACATAAGTGAGTTTTGGTTGCATGACTGTGGATGAGTGTATGAGTGGAAGTGGGGCCTCTGGGGAAATTCTGTTGGAGCATCTATGCTCTTACTTAACCACTCCTTGTTTACCACAGAGGGAAGTAGCATGCAGGATAGTACACATGCAAGGTTTTGCCAAACACACTGGTACACAAATCCCACACTCCAACTAAGACACAATTTTTCTGTTAATGTATGTACTTATTCTCTGTGGAGCTGTACACAATTGTTTAAACTAAACTGCTCTGACTAGCACAATAGGAAGAGACTCAGAGTGTATTTTAAACAAAGAGTGGCACATTGATTTTACTGTTAACATGTAAGATAAAACAGCAGGTTTCAGTGCATCACGTAAGAATGCATGAAGCACCGAGAAACGAGGGAGATGAAGCATAAAACATTTGTGTCCCCATAGAAGAAGAATCTACTGGCATGCAGGCCAAGGAAACCGAAGGCCTTTATAAATGCAGAACCTGTCAATAATATAAAAGGGTTTTCTAATTAAGTGTCTGATGGCATACCAGGCATTCCCCAGTAGGTAACATTAGCATGAGAAGAAGCACTTTAAAGAAATGAGGAAAACTCGTGCTAGTTCCCCCTTGAAATCTCAAAGGTCAGAGTATCTCGGCTGCATTTATTAGCAATGTTCTCTCTACTTTAAGAAGGAAGGAAAATAAACAGGAAGTCTATTGAAAGACTGCAGCTTTGGAAAAAATATGGTAAGAAAAAAATGCTTTCACAATGATATTGATCACACGTGACTATGCACCACACTTCTGTGAAAAACATCTGAAGGTAATGAACCCAAAGCATCAAAAATCACAGTGACCTTTGAAGATTTATAGACAGAAAGAAGATCGCTGATAAGTCAGAGACAAAAGAGGCTGTAAAAAATGTTGCTGTCAGAGATAAAGCTTGAAGTGTTGTCAGTAAGGAAGGTAGCTACAAGAGTGTTGTCATGTATGATTCAGAACACCGAGGAGTTGGGTTATAAATCTGATAAACCAAAAGCTATGTGATTGATCAACTTCCTTCAGCTTTATGACACAAAAAGGACTAGACAGATTAGAAATAAAGGAGTCCCATAGATAGACTCCACTGGTTTTCCACATCAAAATCTGTTCACAGGTCTTACAGAGCTCTAAATGGGTCAAGAGTTGTTGGGGAGATTTTTGTTGCTTCATAGCGAGCTGTGTAAAATCTGTTGAATCGTCAAGTCAGCATCAGATAGGTGTGAAAACAGTGAAAACTAAAAGATACGAGAGGGTGAAGAACAAAACAAATGGGCCAACTGAACCGCAGGATCTGCTCATTATTTCAGATACAATAGCGGCTTGCAGCATATCACCACTGAACTAATCTTTAATGAGATTTACTTGTGATATTGCAGTTTAACATAGCTTCTGTGTGTGTGTGTGTGTGTGTGTGTGTGTGTAAGCTGACATAAACATTTATTTTTCAAATACTTTTACTATTAAAGGCTTGAAATGTGTAAAACATTGTGTCTTTAGTGTAGCCCACCCATTGAGTAGTCAGGCTGATGCTCCACTTAATGGCACCTGCCATAATACTATATGGCTCTACAACAGGGATGTAAATAAGCACAGATAAGAAATGGCATCTTGAATTAAGGTGAGGCGTGACAGTATTTTGACCCAGAAAATGGAGCCAAACTTATATAGGCTGTGCCTGATTGGCAGAGATGACTGAAGTCATGGGGTTTGCTAGCTCTGCTACTGTTAGCCACATTCTACAAGCCGATTTCACATCCAGTATATTAACATGTAGTTAAAAAATCTATTTATTGCACTAATCTGACTGAAACTGGACTTTTCAATCACCTTGATTGCTTAGTAGCTTAATGTATCTGCTCTAACATCCTGCACATAACCATTATCTTATGATAACAGTAACTGTACAAAATATTTATTCACAGTGATTTTATCGATTCAAAGAAGTTATAAACTGTCCATCAAGACATGGCCTCTTAAGCTTACAGATAGAGTTGTGTCTTTGGCAGTGAATATTCAGGAGTTGTCTTGAAATAAGTTAATACAGCTGATGTTTCTCACATTTAATAAAGTGAATTTTTAATGGATGGTTAGGCAAAACAGGATAAGAAGAAAATATGAATCAGAGCCTCAGCAGATTGATTTTTTTCAGCTGTGTTGCTGTTGAATCTGTTGATATTTTTTCCATCAACCATACCATGTTTTGTTTACAGCTTACTT